CAACTAGCAGTTTTGGTTTCTTGGTATTTAATATTGGCAGTTCTTTATGTATTCTAGATACTACCTCTCTGCCTGCAGCATAGCTGGCGAAGATTTTATTCCATTCTGTAGGATTTCTGATAGTTTCTTTGTGTGCAGAAACTTTCCAATTTCATTGGATTCTACCTTCTGACTCTTGGGGCTGTGTCCTGAGCTGGTGGAGCCCTGTTCAGAAAGTTCTTGCCAGTAGCCACAACTGTAAATACATTCCCTTTTGCTTTCCTCTGGCCGTTTTGGGACACTGGGTTTTCAGTTGAGATCTTTGGTCCACTTTGCATGTATTTCTGTGCAGCACGAGAGATGTGCTTCTCATTGAATTGTTTTAGGTAGTGATCAGTTTTTCCAGGACGACATCGCTGAAAGCACAATATCGCTAATAAAAAGGCCTTGCTTTCGATAGCATCCTCCCCCTCTATGTAATAATTTTCATATTCAAGCAAACATAATTTAATTTGTTTTGACAGTTAGAAACAGTAAACTACAATAAATTAGTTGATTTTAATACTTCACTTTAATGTTCAATTTGGGGTCTCTTGATCCTAACTTGTTTTGACACTTGTTGGATGAGCAGAAATTAAAGAGAAAAACACAGATAATCAGATAATCTAATTCTTTAAGGAATCTTGGAAGGGATGTGCCTATATTTCTTTTCTGTAGAAGCAGCAAATAGCAAAACATTTGGCTACACATTCAATTAAAACATATATTTAAAACAAAGATAGGGATACTTGTTTTGTTTTGTTTTTGAGACCGAATCTCATTGATTCCTGGCCATTCCCCTGCCTTTTCCTCCTGAGTGCTGAGATTCCAGGTGTCTGCCATCCTGCCCAGCAAAGACAGAGACCTGAGGCCTTTCTGCCCTAGTGACCAACAGTGGTCGGACACTAAAGTTCTGAGTACCGAGTGCAGTGGCTAATTTAGCATTTGATTTACCCGCCTACATCATATCTTCGATAAATGAAAGTGTGTATGTCAACTTCACTTCCCCCCTTGGGGGGAGAAATAATGCATTTCTATCATTTGAAAACTATATCTTTATTAGAAAATGTCCTATGACTGAAAGGAGAATGTAACATGAAAATTAACCTAGAAACACTCAGTCCTAAATGGGGTATTTTCACCAAACCCCTCCCCTCAGCGCTGTGTAGAAGAGGAGGCAGAAAGATTGTAAGAGCCAGTGGGGATGGAGGACACCAAAGAAATAGTGTCTCCCAAATGCAACTGACTTGGGCACATATAAACTCATACAGATACCGTGCCAGCATGCCCAGATCCAAAACAGACAGGATCCCAGCACACACAAGCTCCTGTCCCTAACCAAGAAGTTATCTCCATTTGACAATGCATTTGCAAAGGAGAATTAGTTTTCTTCAGAGAGGTCTCACTAGGTACACAAATCACACTTAAGGGCAGGCCCCATGCCCAGGAGTAGACACCCATACAAAATGAACTCAAAGGTACTTTTATAGATTTTTTGCCTCATATCACTTTGTTTTGGGCATTTAAAAAGATCTCACTGGTCTTTTGCTTGTATATTATGGTTTTTGATTTTTGTTTTTATGGGTTTTTGTGTCTGTGTTTCTCGTGCTTTTGTTTTTCCTTTTTTAAAAAAATTCTAGTTTGTTTGGTTTTTGTGTGTGTTTGTTTCCTAGAGAGAAAGAGAAAGAAGGCACGGATATGGGTGGCAAGATGGAGAATATCTAGGAGGAGATGCGGGAGGGAAAACGGTGATCAAAAATAATCAAAATGTATTATTCGGAAAAAAAAGCTATTTTTAATGAAAGCAGTGAAAAACATTACTCTAGAAAGTTATTCTCCAAGGTTCTAAAAGAGTAATTGTATTTGTTTTGGTAAATAGATGTGTATTTTGGTAGGCCCGTGTTTCCCAGTCACTCTGTTCTTAAGATGTTCCGTGCTGACCATTGTATCAGAGACATTCTCTTTAGTCACCATCTTCCCCGTGAGAAGGTGAGAACACTGGCAGGAACCAGTGTTCAAGATGAAACTGGATTTCCTAATGGAAAAGGCCATGGAAATATTTGTTCAAATAGTTCTGGTACATCATATATGGGATGATTTTTCAGACAAAACACAAATTAGAAGTCAATTAAGGAAACCCAAACGGTTTGACTCTTTTTACTCCAGCCTTCAATGAGGGGGCACATACAGTGTACAGACATTAGCATGTTGTTATCTCTACCCCATGTGACCTTTGAAAGATGGGCCACCTCAAAAGCCATCACCTTCTCGAATGACTCCTTCGGAAAGTAGAGAAAGTCTATGATGAATAATTTTAGGGGTTGGGATCAAGTGGGTTTTCACTCTAGGATGGAACTAATACACGTTTTTAAATATGGGGGGTGTGTGTGTGTGTGTGTGTGCGTGCTTGCACGTGTGCATGTGTTCAGGGCCACACTCACACTCCCATGAATGTGTGCACATGTTCATGCCTCAGACACATCCTTTGAAAGGTGACCTATCTTTACTTCCTTAGAAACCATGAGAGTAAACAAGACTAAACATTACAGCCCACTTCAAAAACTGGACATGTCTGTGTGTGCCTGTGTTATTTGGCAATGTTGTGAAATAAAATGGGTTCTGTTGGTGCCTGAGATGCTAAGGATTAAACGCAGAGTCTTGCGCATGCGAAGCAGTTGAACCCAGACCCATCTGCGGCTCTGGTTTGTTATTCCTTTAATGAAATGCTTCTTGTCTTTCTAAAATATTTCTCATTTCATGGAGCCACAAGTAACAGAGATGGTTTGAAGTTTTATTTTAAAATGGAACTGGAAGCCAGGTGTGGTGACACACGCCTTTAATCGCAGCATTTGGGAGGAAGAGGCAGGCAGATGTCTGTGACTTTGAGGCTAGCTTAGTCAACAGAGTGAGTTCCAGGACAGCCAGGGTCATGTAGGAATACCTTGCCTCAAAAAGCCATAAAATAATCTGGGTCAGGAGTCAAAGGCTGTCTGATGATGCTAGCATTGTGTACACAGAAAGTTTCCAGGGTAGCCTGGGGTATATAGCAAGACTGTCTCACAAAAATGTTAAAATCACAGCTCCATTTATTTACAAGAAAGGGAAAACCTTTTAAAGAGCTAAACAGCTATAGAAAAAGATTAGATTGAATTTGTAAAGGAAGTCTCTTTAATAAAAACCGGGAACAAATGATGTGCTTTTTTTTCCCCCTAAAGTCATGTCATCACAGTGTCCTTGGAGTAGACATAGACTGAAGTTTGGGAGTTAAAGGACAGGCGGAGATGATGTCACATGTGGGGGTAATTCTGTAGCGCACCTGCTTCTGTCATAACAGATCATAGGCAGAATTCTACCAGTACTGTGGAATAGCCATATTAATTACTTCATAGCACTGAAAAGGGACTTTCCTGGCTCCAGTGTAAAATACTTTGTGAGTCTGTTGCACATAGATAACTATGTTGTTGGAAACACTCTGCTGTTGGTTTTCCTCCAGTAGTGTCTTCTGATTTGCAGAAGTAAAATTAAAAAAAAAGTTTATGGGACTCAAAGGCTTTGTGCATATTTCTTTGTAAGAGTCAGGCTTTCGGATTTCAGTGTGTGATGTGCATTGAAGAGAAAAGTTTGTATTATTAGAAAAAGCAATAGACAGAACACTTTTCTATACAGAAATATACCACAAGCCATATGTTATTCTCAAACCCAGGAACCCTGTGCACAAGGAACCCTGAAATTGTGAATCCAGGAAGTTGGGAGTAGTACCAGAACTCCTAAGCCACTTGAGGCGGCTTTTATGTTTGATGGAGATTGTAGATCATTACCCTAGGAAACCGTGTTGATCACAGTAGCCACGTAGGCAGAACTTCTGCATAGGAACTGGAGCTCTGTCGGTAGTACCAGGGCAAGGCAGGAAGACAGTTGCACACCTGTACTCTTCCTCCATCATATTCCTCCAGACTTCTCAGTTTGGCAAACAAGTACCATACATCCCAGACGGCAGTCACACAGAATTGTTTGCCGATGTGCATCGTGTCTGAGCACACGCTCCTATTTCCCGGAGGTTCACTCGTATGCCTCCATACCGTCCAGTTATGGGTGACCCCCTTTCACAGGTCTTCCCTGTACTCTTGCCTACACTTCCATTGTTCCATTGTTGTCATCCTGCTCCCTGCACGTGTGTGTGTGTGTGTGTGTGTGTGTGTGTCTCGCGTTCTCTTGTCATAAACTGCACCTTGACAGACGTCAGCTCTTCTACTTTTCCGTGCATTTTGCAGCTGGCTAGTCTGTTGAGTGCAGGTAAGATGCAGGTGAATTGTTGCTAATGATGCTGGTGACTTTTTTCTTGCTGGCATCAGATGTACTTTCTTGTACCACATATGTGAAGATATATTTTTTTTCCTAAAGAACGCTATCCCATGCAATATTAATAGAGCCATATGCCACCCCTCTCTTGGCGTCAAAAATCACACTGATAACACTGAAAATGTAAGCCGGTTTCGAAAGAATCATGTGACTCTGCTAACTGCATTTCTGGTAGGCACTTGGCCCTCTGCAAACATATATGTATGTTTTATTTTGCAGTTGTTTCTTAGAAATCTAGTTCTAACTTTTTTATGACTTGGAGGGGAAAATCCTATGTTAAGAAATTTTAGATCCAAATTCCAAAGTATTTTTAAAACAATAACAATATTTATACATATTAAAGTGAGAATTTATAATATTTAAATTCGATAATTCCAGGTATTTGTGTAAACAATGGCACTATATAACCTAAACATAATGAATAAGAAATACTGTTACAAAAATAAAGTTGGAATACAGAAATATACACACACACACAACACTAAAAGGACCATATCTTAGTAAAAAGGAACGGAGTATGAGGGTCCGAGGGTCATAGAATTCTTGGGTTTTCAAGACTTCGTATTTATCATCGTATACTGAAATATTGTCACAACTTAAATTTCCTATTTTCCCCTCTCTAGGCTAAATTTACAGATGACTGTAAGTTCAGGGAGAGGTTTCAAGAAAACAGCTACAATACCTATGCGTCAGCAATCCACAGAACTGAAAAGACGGGGCGGGAGTGGTACGTGGCCCTGAACAAGCGAGGGAAGGCCAAGCGGGGCTGCAGCCCCAGGGTCAAACCCCAGCACGTCTCCACCCACTTCCTACCCAGATTCAAGCAGTCGGAGCAACCCGAACTTGCCTTCACCGTCACTGTACCAGAAAAGAAAAAGCCACCTCGCCCGGTGAAACCACAGGTCCCCCTGTCGCCACCTCGCAGAAGTCCCAGCCCAGTGAAGTACAGATTGAAGTTTCGGTTTGGATGATGCTCATCTTGGCCTTGTGAGAAACCACTCTTCTGCCTCAGGACCTTCTACAGGCATCATGGAGCCCCGGAGGAAACTTTCGGACACAGTGTCGCTCTGTCCCTCCGCTGCTGCGCTGACACGTGTGGAAGTCAGGTCACTGTTTCGCTTTGACTGGAACAAGACGGCCTTTTTTGTTTTGCTTTGTTTTTAAACTTTAAATAGACACAGAAGTGGGATTCTGTAGCGATCCAGAGAGCACATCCCTTCAGCTCAGTGAGGTATAAAAGCTTCATGATAAGAGGATATATAGCATTCTACATTTTTAGAATGTTCAGTAGCCTGGACTACATATGTATTTTTCTGCCTTTTACAGATCAACCTGAAAGAACATACATGATACATTTTTATTTTTCTTTTCCAAAGAATATTTTAATGCAGATAAAATATTTTATAAACTCCTGTTTTTTTAAGGTACCTCTACATTGAGCATATTTTCTTACTTTTCTTATTTTAATTAATTGCCACAAGCAGTCAGTTTATTGCTGTTTGTGGATTATAAACATTTTGATAGATTGTCTGATAGCATGTGGATCCCTCTGCATTTTTTTTACTGCATTGTTTACTTTGTTGTAGCCATACCTCAAGTTGTGTGTGTTTAGTTCTACACTTTAAATTGTTTAAATGTGCTTCCATGGCCCCAGAGGCTCAGTTTGGAGGTGCGTATTGTTCCAAAGTCATGGCATTATGTGAACTCCTACCACGTTAGTGCTGGGCTCTCACCATTACAAGGAGGAAAACATGACGACATTTTGATGGATTTAATGGTTGGATGTAAAGAAAAGGACAGAGGCAAAAGTACAGTAAGTGTAAAGCATCTGTGGTCGTCTAATTCTGTCTCTTTTGCTTCTGCTTTTATCTACCCCTTACCCTCACTCAAGAACAGCTGAAGGAATACATTTTATTCTGCCCATGAAGCATACACCGTGAAGCTGGAGTGCTTAAAAATACTTCTATACTCTGTGCTATCCTTACTGTATGGACTCACAGACAGCAACTAATCAGGGTGCCTGCATGCGTGCATGCGTGCGTGCGTGCGTGCGTGCGTGCGTGCGTGTGTGTGTGTGTGTGTGTGTGTGTGTGTGTGTGTAACTGAAGATGAATCACTGGCCAGGTATTCATGTCAAGACTCATGGTCAAAATACTCCTACTATTCAATCAAATACCTATCCCAAAAGTAAAGACTGCAGCGAGTGTGTCCACTCTGCTATAAGAAAATCTGATGTATCTTAGAAACACCTGTCCTTGCAACAAAGGAGCTTGATTTGGGAATTTGATAAGCTGAAAATGACACTTCATTCTCAACTCAAATGCCAAACACTGGATGGAAATCACAGCAAGTTTAACTTATAAAGAGTTGCAAAATTTATTTTCTTGGATAATCATTTTTATGGAGATCTATGAAATACAAGTGTTCATCTTATATTCGTAAACGCTGCAATAAAATGTGTAGATGACCATTAGGTGTGTGTCTTTCATGGAGCAGAAGTGTTCACACAAGTCTGTGTTTCATGTTGATAAACATTTTACTTAAAACAAAGTCTGGCTTACTTTGGTACACAAACTAAGACATATCAAAATTTATCTTAGTACCACACATACAGGTGGCATAGTTTTAATGGGAATAAACTGTACATGTACATGCTGTGTATAATATACCCAGAACTAAAGTATCATGCATGAAGACTAGGAGTTTTTATAAAGTCAATAAATTGACTAAATGTCACACTCAACACAAGATTTTTTAAGTAATGAATTGCTACAAATTTTAATTAGCATATACTCCAGAATACTCTTGATTTAAATGAGACAATGGTATTTTGCACAAAACAGGCTACACCAAACTCCTATACAACTGCCACATGACCTTATCTACACAGGATGATGTTAGAAATCCTCTTCTAGTCTATTTAAATGTCTTGTGAACTATTCATCAAGTTATTAGACTACACAGAGAAGCAGAGATTAGGAATTGTGTTAATAAATGGGGAAGGAACAGATGATAGTTAACAAATTCATGTATACACCAAATCAGCTAAATACCACTCACACTTTATACTAAGAAACATAGCTTATCTTGCACTTTGATTTAATTAACATATGAAGTTAAATTAGGAGAGCAACTCTCTCTCTCTATATATATATGTATATATATAAGATGCTGATCATCTTATATGTATATACATATAATTTTGCACAAGTCAGGACTCATTAATTTCAGAATTTAAAGCCATACTGAAATTGAAAAATAAGTTACATTTATCTGAAGTTTACTGGAAATATAAGGTTACATTTAATTAATGCACAGTTAAGTCAAAAGCTTCAATTAAGTGAACCATGTACGGATAATATGCGTATGTACAATTCCTTCTGATTATTTTTTGAGAGAAGGTTTCTTTGTGTATATCCCTAGCTGCCCTGGAATTCCCTCTGCAGAGCAGGTTGAACTCAAATCACAAAGATTGGCCTGCCTCTGCCTCCCAAATGGTAAGGACATGTACCACCACGAGCAGTTTCTGATTGTTTTTAAGTAACTAGCTCATCTCTTATCAAACAAAGCTTCCTGACTAGGATCCTGTTCATCTAAAACCATCAATATTTAGGAAACTAGTTTGTACCAAACAGATAGAAACACCAGACTGATACTTCAGTTTTGCCAATTGTTTTATGTTTGATTTTTAGTTTACAATAGTCTGTCTGGAACATAAAAAGAGATAAAGAGAGGAGCCCAAATAAGATGATCAGCATCATAGTTCCTCAAATCAACGTTTGCTTCCTTCTAAAGAAGCTAATTATGAATAACTGTGGATATAAAACACCTTTGTTGTCAGCAGTATTGCAGTTGGAAAGTGGTAGTGAGCGCCTTTAATTCCAGTACTTGGGAGATAAAGGCAGGAGGATCTTAATGAGTTTGAGGCTAGCCTGTCTACAAAGCAAGTTCCAGGACAGCCAGGAGTAGTACACAGAGAAACCCTGTCTCAAAAAAACAAAATAAATAAATAAAATAAGACACCTTTGTCCTTTTATCTGAAATATAGTGGCCTGGTAGTATGCTGTTGTATAATAATGATAAACGACACTGAAAAGAGTCATTTCCAAAGACACACAGTCTAGGAACTGGAAAGAAAGCACAAATCAGATAGGCAAATTAATATAAATCACTATAAAATATTTAAAAGAAAGGAACTTTTAGGTAAAGTATGATAGCTCACAATCTTCTTTCAGTTTTTAAGCTAGTTGTACAAAATTGTGCTGGAAATAAAATTTTCATCTCATGAAGATAGAGACAAAATCTCTTTCTCCCTTAATCTCTTTCTCCCTTGAGCTCTTTGCCCTATTTGAAAGTCTTGGAGATAAAAGAGACAAAAGTCAGTGGGGGACCTTTTTATACCTAACAGTCTACCTTCCTGATGTTGCAACCCTTTAATACAGTTATGGTGACACCCAACCACAAAATTATTTTCACTACTACTTCATAACTGTAATTTTGATACTGTCATGGATCCTAATGTAAATATATGTGTTTTCTTATGGTCTAAGGTAGCCCCTGTAAAAGGATCATTCTACCCCCAAAGGGGTCATGACCCACAGATTGAGAACCATTGGTCTAAGCAGTACTAGTCATTCAAGTGTACCTCAAGTTATCAAACAGCATTAAAGTGATTGTAAGTTACAAGATGTGGTAGTTAGTAAATCTTCAACACTTTCTAGCTTAGCTATTTACACACCACAAGTTACTCAGTCCTAACATGACCTCTACCATTTGATCTTTAACATCAGGCCCAGCTTTATATTACAATAAATTGTATGAGTTTTCAAATATTAACAATTCTAGTTAGCTCTACCAAGGAACTCCTACAGCTGACAGACACCTCCAGCTAAGTAACTGGATATAAGATTAGCTAAAAGAAAAATTGGTAGCCTCCCTCTGTACAAGTGATAAATGGGCTGAGAAAGACATCAGGGAAACAACACCCTTTACAGTAGCCACAAATAATGTAACTTATCTTGGTGTTACTGATTAAGCACTGAAAGACTGGTACTGCAACAGACAAGAACAATTCTAGTTAGGTTTCCAAAGAGACACGGTTTTTATTTAGATTCAACTAATAATCTACATCTGGATGAAACTGGAGAGTTGCTTGAAAAAAAAAGTCAATGAAGTAAAAAAAGACCCGTTCTTAGTTTTAAAATATTTCTGGGGTTAGAGCTCAGTAGAAGAAGAATGTTCATTAGAATGCAGAAAGCTATATGTTTGACCCCTAGAACTAAACAGCGGACTAAGAGTCAGACTGGATCGGCAGACTTACAACACTGAGGCCATACTTGAGCTCAGTATTTTATGGATGAGAGGGTATGTGAATTAATACAGAGGGCAATGAATGGTTGTAGCAACATCATTGGTTGCTCTAAATAGTTCTCAGGCCCCACACCATCTTTTAATGTTTCTTTTGTAATGATAATTCCATATTCTGCAAGTCTTCAAGGAATCTACAAAGGACTTAGAGCAACTCTGTCTTGATGTCATTCCTTCGAATAATGATAGCTCACCAAACAATACACAAACACTGTCATCTCTGGTCATTTAGGAAGCTTTCTCTGAAGTTCTAAGTTGTGTAAGACACTCAGATAATGAGATTGTTTGATTTACCTAATATTTATTCAATATATTCTTTGTGCTCTCTTATTTTTATTTTTTATTATCTATTTATTTTTTTTTTTGAGACAGGGTTTTTCTGTGAATTTGGAGGCTGTCCTGGAACTAGTTCTGGTAGACCAGGCTGGTCTCGGACTCACAGAGATCAGCCTGCCTCTGCCTCCTGAGTGCTGGATTAAAGGCGTGCGCCACCAACACCTGGCATGCTCTCTTATTTTTAAACCCTGGAAGGAGCATATCTGAACTTATTGTATTTTACAGTCTGATAATAAGCAAACACCAATTATGAAATCCTCATAGCTGGTAGTAATTTTGAATCTGTTTCTGTGATATACTTTGTAGAGGTCACTGGATATGTGACTTAGTCACAGAGCTTAATATACACATGTAGGTTTAGCTGCTCAAATTTTAGGATGAATTGATTGATGAGTAAGATGTATTTGAGGAAATCTGTCCCAGGTAAGTGAATTTCATGTTAGGTGCAAGACAGCCCCTTCAGTATGAGTGAGAACACTCTCCCTGACACTGTACTTAGACTCTTTACACATAAATTCTAAGGCCAAATTAAAACTGCCAAGAATTTATGAGCTGATTTAGGTTCCAACATCAGTCAGCACGTGACACTTCAATTGACCATAATAAAAATAGGTTACTATGCAAATCCTGATTTTTTTCTTTTTTCTCTTTCTTTCTTTTCTTTTCTTTTCTTTTCTCTTTGTAAGGCAAACAAACCCCTAGTGAGATGTCAGTAGGTATCAGTGGGGGAGTAAAGACATTTCTCTTTTGGTAATTTATTCCTAGATGTGTTTGTCCTCTCTCTCAGATAAGCTCCATCAGAGAAGACTGAGTTTTTCTGTACCCTACGGTGAGATTAGTGAATGCATAATCACACAGTGACAGGTACCGTTCCAATGTGTTTCTCATTAAATTCTCTGTCGCTTCCTCTGTGGGAAACTGGAAGGTGTATCAGATTTTCATATGGGGAGGTGAATTTCTGCTGAGGAGGCAGCATGACTTCTTTTACTCTCCAGAGAGCAATTATGGCTATGCACCCACCAGCAGTTCTGTATTTTATGGCAGGCTTTCTGTAGAATGTGTGCATTCCACACTCTGACACATGCTATAGTCATTTTTTAAAAAGTTTGCTTGTTGTCCTACATCTACCTCCACAAAGGGCCCCTGAGACTAAGTGTACTTGCATACTAAATTCATAAATGTATAAAAATATACTACTTCTACAACACTCTCTATTCCCACAGAGTACCTGAGACAATGCGTTTAAATTTTGGAGAGGAAAACAGCATGCAAGCAGGACATTATCTGTCAGTGTCAATTCTGTTTCTCTGCATAAAGGATTCCTTACAGTGGGCTAAAGACGAGCTTTTGTTTAGTGAAAGGATAACTTAAGTCATCTACATGACTTCTACAAATATCCTGTGAGGGCTGGAGTTCCTGAAGATGATGATTAAGAAGGGAAGCTGTGCCCATCCGAGTTGTCAAGCTAGTTGAAAAATGGGGTTGCCTCTGCAAGCTCGTTTTTTTTTTACCTTGGGAACAATGTTGTTTAAACCCTTAGCCTTCACTGTGTAGAGAGAAAAAGAGCAACTGACATAAACACACCACCCATACGCCAGCCTGTGTCTTGGAGCACAAACCACAAGCTCTCTCTTTATTAGTCCTGGGAATTTAATGTTTAATGCTGTAAAATCAACTCAGTCAAACAAAACTCCGAGGTCCAAAGGAGCCAATGCAAACTAAATGAATAATGAGTTCATGGTTGCTAATAATGTATGCTAGACAC